GTTTGGCCATTGTTTTGACCATTAGTTTGAAAACGATTCTCATATTTATTATTTCTATTATAATAAACTCTAGAATAGTTTTGTCTGTTATTAGGTTTATAAGCATAATTAATAGTATTAGTATCATTTTGATGCCTTTTACTATTATTGAAATTTCTATTATTATTGTTAGTGTTGTTAAATTTACGCATTTGAAAATTATTTGATTGAGATTGTTTGTTATCTGTGTTATAACTTTTGCTATGACGATCATTGTTTGGACACTCATACGATTTGTGTCCATTATTACCACATGCAAAGCAACGACCAGGAAATTGTGGGATATTTGGACGATTTGTTAGGTTTAACGATTGATTATTGGGATTTTTTGAAATATTTCTTTGATTATTATAAGTACTAGATTTACTATTATTTTTATCATTAAAATTAGTACTTAAGTTTTGTTTTGATTGAGAACTACTATCAATTATTCGATTCATTTCAATAAAGTTTTCAGCATTTATACACATTTGTCTAAATTCAGAGACACCCCCTTGGAATGGCCAGACACCTACATTTAGTATGCGATTTCTAAGTTCTGGTTTTAACCCAAATGTCAATATTTCAACTTTTTCTTTAGATCTCATATTATCATTTACGGACTCTATTAAATCTAATCCACGTCTAATATATATCCTAACTGTCTCATTACTGTATTGTTTCAATGTATTTAAACGCATTCTGTTGGTTATTCCCTGATCCTTTGCCTGAAACTCACTCAAAAATGCATTTTTAAATGTTTGCCAATTAATAAAATCTAAATTTGCAAATGTTTCTGTGATCCAATTGATCACATCATCTGTAACAAATTTAGCAAAATTTTTAATTTTATGGTTGTCTTTCCAACCATTTATTAGTGCCGATTTTTCATATTTTTTAAGCCAAACTTTAGGGTCAATATCATAGGTTAGTTTTGGTGGTGAATGTATTGTGTTTGTATTAATTGTTAACTGCTCTAATGCATTAATCAATTGATCGCCAGTATTGTTACTGTGAGTAGTGTTAGATTGTCTATGACTCAAATTACTGTATGTATAACGGGGCGGTCTATTATAGAGAGGAGACCGTGTCCTGTCATTCTGTTGGCCAATAAGCCCTATACTTGTTGATACATGCGGTCTATTAAGTGTTGTATACACTGTATTAGTTATATTGGTGACCGGCGCGGACGTACTATTAGTATATATAGGTACAGACCGGTTTATACCAGTTGTTATGACAGACATATTAGATACTAATAAATTATTAAAGTGTGAGTCAGCATTAAATGACTGCATTGCAGTGGTAGGCGTACTCACTGTCAAATTAGGTATAGAGTTACTGTATAAATTATATAAGTGAATTATATCATCAATATTCATAATATCATATAATCTAAGCCATGATAGCTCATAGTTATCTATATCTAGATGATAATCATTAAATAGTCCATTAGAAACAAATTCTGGGACAACCTGATACATTGTAATCCAGTTAATAACTGGTGGTTTGTCTAAATATGCACTATTACCTCTACTAACAGTAGGGTTAGCAATAGTAGTAATTACAGATTCATTATCACTATTTTCGTCATTATTGACATTATTACCGTTACTTCCCTCCCCTAAAATTGGGAGATCGCTACTAAATAAATTAGTCATTTTTCTTACTAATTACGGGGTTTCCTTGGACTCCGAGAGTACGGACAACCGATCCTTATCTCCACCAAGTGTTACGCAAAAGTCGTTTAGTTTAGTTGATTTTAACCAAATGATTATTAAACAAACACTTAAGGGTAACATCAATAGATAGTCTATATTCATATTTATTAGTTAAATAAAATTGTATAATAAAAAAACTATTATTTAAAACAATTTATTATTTATTTATATTTATTAAAAAAACTGTTTTTTAAAAGACTTAGAAAAAAAAATACAATACTCTCTTTCCCTCACATATCACATCCCTATCTCCTCTATCTCTCATAACATAATAATAATAATAATTATATATTAATTATTTAACCAATTTATAATAAAATAAACATATTATATGTTATACATCTACATTGTAGATGTATATAAAACATCAGTTAAAGTTACAAATATAAATTATAAAAAAAATATTTAAACATAAAATATAAAATATTATATTATATTTAAATCAATAGCATAAAGCATTAATACTATTATTATAATAATATTTGTAATATAATATTTCAATGTCATTTTATAAATTTAAATTATATAAATATAATATAATTAATATTATAAAACAATAAATCATTAAATCATTGAAAATCGATTTTAAAAATAACAGTAAAAATTAAAATTGCAAAATTATCTAGATCATTTAGTTATTGCTTTTTAACCCTTAACATTAGCTATTGGTCTATAAGTTTGCTGAAAAAATTAACAAAAAATAATTATTTTAGTTTACACTACTATTTTATTAGATGAAAATGTATATGTATTTTATGGTTCATTATATTTTAACTTTTACTAAGTTTTTGTTCAAGTTTTGAAATCTCTTAAGAAATTAAGTAATAATTAAGTAAAATAATTTATGAAATTGATGATAATGTATTATAATTATTATTATTAAAATATAGCGAGTATAATAAGTTTGCTTTGTAACTTATAACTATGTTATTATTATAAATATTTTCTTATGAAATATAGTTTAGCATAAAATAAAATATTGTTTTTAAATAATTTTATATAATTCAATAGTTGTGTTAACTATTATTTAATTTAAAATTAAATGAGTTATTATTTTAATTAAAATTACTAATAACTTTGTAAATATGATTTCAAAATTATTTCTATATGAAAATTTAGTTGATTTTATTGTCAATTATTATTGTCAATTTGTTTTATAAAAAATCAGTTCAAACAAATCACACACTTTTATTGAATACATATTATTTTCAATATTTTTGATCAATATTATAAAATATTGTCTATTGATTTATGTTAATAATATAGATATTTTTATATTAATAATAGTCTATGATCATAGATCAAATCCACTGGCACACTGTGGAAGTTAGCAATGTTATGCAGTAAAGTCATATCAATAAGCGCTGCAACTATTATACATATAAAGTCAATTTGTATGTATAAGTTAGGGGAAATCTATCGGTGCTTATATGTTTGATGTATGTCTATGATATGGCCTACTTTATGGGCAATTTATATCAATATAATTTAATTATATTTTTATTGACGACATTGTATTTTGCTTATCAATATAAAAAGTTTCATTTATCACGTGACCAAATCTGGTATAAACTAATTGAAGCATTTACTGTACAAATGGATATCAAACAATTAATACCAAATTTAAATATTGATAAAAATCTTATGAATAAAACTAGAAAAATAATCCAGTATATTTATAGAATTGAACTTATATTTTTTGTAAATTGGAGTAAGTAAACAATTTAATTATAAATTAAAATATATTAAATAAATTAATAATTATAATCAAAAAATTTTATGTTTTATTATAATTATTTTTTAATATTATGAATTTAAATATTTTTAAAATTTAAATAAATTTAAAAATATACCGGTAAGAATTTAAATAATTAATTAATATAATTGATAATTTTTTTTATATAGTTATTGCAATAACAATAATGTGGTTTTCTATAATATTTAAATACTATTCATTGATAACATTCATTCAATCAATTGTTTGGCAATTGTTACAAATGATACCTTTATATGTACTGATGATCGATAGCTTTATTGGTATTTCATCGGTGATATCACTAATTTATATTTCATTTGTTTTAATTAATAAAATCAATTCAACAATACTTGGCTGTAATCTTAATGATATAACAATTTATAAATCAATTAATTTGTTTATTTAAAATAACAATAGTTTTTGTCGACAAATCAATGATTACAATAAGCCGTTTTCAACAACAGCTAATATTATTATTGTTATTATTAATAGTGTTATGCAATTGATGATAATGTATACGTGTTATTAAAATAAGGTTTATATAGCAAATCAATTATTTTATAATATATAATTAAAATAATTTATTATAAAGATTTTTTTTAAAATATTTATATATTTGTTATTGTTTAATAATTTTATGAAAATAGCTTATTTTAGGTAAACTATAACTAAAAAATTTATTATAAAGATAGTGCGTGTATAGCAAATTTGTTATTTAATACAGTATAATATTATGAAAATAATTTTTAAATTAAGATATATTAAATATATATTAAATATATGTATAAATTTATTAATGTTTTTAATTTTATAAAAAATTATCTTGTTTTAATTGAAAATAGTATTATTAAAATATGGCGTCTATATAAAACTTATAAATAATAAGTTATTATTTATTACTGTATTGTTTAATTAAAATTCAAATATCTATTGAGAATTTTTTTTTAAAAATTATTTATATACTTATTATTGTCAATAATTTTATTAAACATCTTGTTTTAATTGAATTAAAACTTGAAAATATTGACTATTAAATATAAAAAAAATATAAATTTATAGTAATTTATAGTAAAATAAATTTGTTCAAAACAAATAAACACACTTTTATTGAAATATCTAATATTTTTGATATTTTTGATATTAATATTATCAAAAATATTGTTTATTAATTTATTCAAATAATATTAATATTTATCACTGGCTTTATACTAAAAAATATAAATATATATATATATAATAATATATTCTATAAAAAATATTTATAAATAATACATACTTTTTATAAATTTTTTGATATCCTTATATTATATTCTTTAATAAACTTATTTTTAGTATTTTTATTAATGTTTTCACATAATATTTCAATTAAATTATTGAATAAAATTATTTAATAAATCAAAATAATCTTATTTGAAATATTAGTTTTGTAATATATTAGATTGGTAGAAAAGAAATTAGCCTCGGTAGCTTAAGACAATTTTATTCAAATTTTTTTCAAATATTATTTAAATATAGTCTCCGTTAGCCCTTATGACACGTTTCATACGGTCGACCCACTTCTCATAGACCCCGCGCCAGTCGGCTGGACTTAGGTCTCCCAAAAATGACTCAATAGCGATGTCAATCTCAATTTCGCTATTAAATACCGTTCCTCTCAGGTGTTTCTTGAGGTTTTTGAAAAGCCAAAAATCAGCCGGAGCCAGATCAGGACTGTACGGTGGGTGTGCCAGAAGTCGAATACCATTGTCTTTGAGATACTTGGTTGTTACCAATGCTTTGTGAGGACGGGCATTATCGTGATGCAAAAAAATACCAGTTAGTCCCGACTTCGGGCGGTCCTCACAAACAGATTCAAAGACTTGAGGCAAACATTTCTTCACATACCAGTCGGCGGTAACCTTCTCTCCCTTTCCTAACTTAACGATTTTCACAATACCGGTTGAGCGGAAAAAAATGGCGTACATTATCTTTTTTACATGCACTTCACGTTTGGCTAACTTCGGGATCTCTTCATCTTCTATGACCCATAACTTTGCTTCTTTACTGTTTAAATTGTCATAAAAGTACACATATGTTTCATCACCAGTCACTAATCGATAAATAAAGTGATCTCCGCCATCCGAAAATATCTTTAGGTTTTCCCGGCAGATCTTAACACGAGTGGCCATTTGGTCGGCTGACAGCACGTGGGGTACCCATTTGACACAAACATGTCTTGCATTAAGATAATTGTGTAGAATATGATGGACTCTCTCGGTTGAAATATTCAATGTATATGCCATCTGTATTAGTGTCATTCGTGGATCTACTTGAAGTAGTTCCCGAATTCTGGCCACATTTTCATCGGTGGTCACTTCCCGAGGTCGACCTGACTTCGGCATGTCCTCAAGTGATGTACGACCAAATTTGAACTCTCGATACCAATGCGTTACTGTAGAGTAAATAACAGTATTTGATCCCAATGTGTCATTAATTTCATCTGTCGCCTCCTGTGCCGTCAGCGCGCGCCGATAACAATAGGCAATTATTGCCCGAAAATCACGAGAAGCAAAATTTATGGTTTTCTCAGACATTGAACACTTTAAGAAGTCACCAAAACTGAACCAAATGAGCAAATGTTGTGAAAATTTGTATTTATGACTAAAAATAAGTGTACTTTTGTTTAATAATAAAAGTTTTATCATAATTTACAGTTTTGATGCTTATACTAATTATATACCTACTGTCCTAATAATAATAAATTATTTCAATCATTTTATAATATCATATATACCGTAAATGTTTTGATTCACTAAAATTTGGTATCTATTTGTTAAAAGTAATATTAATAGTTAATATTTTAAAAGTTAATTAAAAAAATTATATATATATAAAAATAATATAAAATAAGAAAAAAGATTTTAACAATATATCAATATAAATTAGATTACTAATTAAATTTAATAATATTTTTGTAAACAAATTATAACAATACAATCAATATATTATTTACTTTTACTGTAAATTACTAATTATTGACATTTTAATAAATAATAGTATTTTATTTTTATTTAATTTTTTCAGCAAACTTATAGACCAATAAGTAATAGCGACAATATTTTATAATAATCTATAATAAATTTAAACAAACTTATTGTTAACAATTATCAATATATATATATATATATAAAGTAAATCTAAATAATTTTCTCAATACCTGATAAAATAAAGTTAACGTCAATGCATTCATTTGAGGTCCGAGTGTTGCACCGATTTTGCGATCACTGGACAGTCGTTCAAAATAAGCCATTAGTTTGACTTTGAATCGCATCCGAAACGGGTATCCATTGACTCGCCATTGAATGCGTGACAACAATGGATACGTCCGATGAATATTAGCCGACAGTTTTGCGTAACGGTATTGCATTATAAATATCTGACTGCATATAACAATAATACTAATAAAATAAAATATTTTTATTTGATAGTCTAACGGTTCAAATAAAATCTGATGTATACTAAGTAAACTGATTGGCATTATTGTCACTATAAATGCTAAATAGAGTTTTGAAAACTTATGATTGTATTCAATAAGTTGCAAACAAAAACTATTATGATTTTTAATAAACAAATTAATTGATTTGTAAATTGTTAAACGATTTTCATTGTATGTAAGTATTATTGAATTGATTTTATTAATTAATGTAAATAAAATATAATTCACTGCTATAAGGGATGAAATACAAATAAAGCCATCGATCATCAGTACATAAAACGGTATCATTTGTAACAATTGCCAAACAATTGATTGAATAAATGTTTGAAATGAATAGTATTTCAAGATTATTAAAAACCAAATTATTGTTATTTCGATAACTATTTTTTACAAAAATAAAATATTTCATTATAATTATTAATTTATTGTAATATATTTTAATTTATAATTAATTTTTTTTATTTACTCCAATTTATAAAAATAAAAAATACAATTCTATAAATATACTGGACAATTTTTCTAGTTTTATTCATCAGATTATTATCAATATCTAAATTTGGTATTAATTTTTTTATATCCAATTGTCTAATAATAGCATCAATTAGTCTATACCAGGTTAGGTTATGATTTGATAAGTGAAACATTTTATATAGATATCCGACATATATTGTTGTCAACAAAAATGATAATATATTATACTTATGTATACCACCCATAAAGTAGGCCATATCGTAGAGTAATAGTTGTCTATCAATATTACTAACATTTATCAATAGACAATACTTTATAATATCAATCAAAAATATCAAAAATATTATATATTCAATGAAATTGTGTGATTTGTTTTGAACGGATTTTTTATAAAACAAATTGAAATAATAATTAATAATAAAATCAACTAAATTTTGATACTTTAATATAAAAATCATATTTACTAATTATATATTAATAAAATTATAAATTAAGTAACTAACAATAAAATAATAAAGTAACTAATTTAACTATTTTTACAATTTATAATAATATTATAATTTTATATTCACTTGCAATTTAATTAAACTAATACTACTACTACTAATAATAATAATAATAATTTACTCAAATATTCATAATTTATATTACATATACTGTTATTTTATTAATTTTTACGCAATATTATAATTTATATAAAATCATTTATATTAATGTATAATTAAATTTATGTTAATATATTTTAGAAAATAATATAAATCAATATAATATACTGTAGTTTGCTGTTTAGTATTTTATTGCATTTCAATTTAATATATATATATATATATATATATATATATATATATATATATATATATATATTATAGTTTCATCATCAAATTACATAATCAAACACACAGTATAAACTAATTAAAAGCAATTTTGAGAACAACAATGAGATAATTGTATTTTCGCTTTTATATAATTATATTATTTTATTTTTATTTTTGATATTAAGTATTTTTTTTTGAATGTCTTTGACTGATGTCTTTGAATTATTATTGTCGACAACTCAATGACAACTCAATAATCCGTTTTCAAAACAGTATTTCGTATAAATATTGACATTAATGTCAATCAATTTACTAATCATACATCAAGTTTTATTTGAATAGTTAGACTATCAAATAAAAGTAATTTATATTATCTGTAGTATTAGTATATGTTGTATTGTATTTATAATTCAATACCGTTTTGCAAAACTGTCGGTTAATATCCATCGGATGTGTCTATTGTTGTCACGCATTCAATGGCGAGTCAATGGATACCCGTTTCGGATGCGATTCAAAGTCAAACTAATGGCTTATTTTGAAAGACTGTCCAGTGATCGCAAAATCGGTTTAACTATTGGACCCCATTTTAATACATTAACAGTGACATTGTTTTATCAGGTAATTAATTAATTATTAATATTTAAGATATTTTTTAAAAATAATGTTTAACATTAAATAAATACTATTTTTGTTTGTTTTAGATTATTATAAAATATTGTCGCTATTATCTATTGGTCTATAAGTTTGCTGAAAATAGTAAACACAAAACTTAATAATTAATTTTATAACTATAACTATACTAAATAGGTATAACTATTTTTAATCTATATAAAATTAATCTATTTAAAAATTAAGTATGATTTTTTAACATTTTATATAATCTTAAATATATATTTTTTAAATTTTCACTGATATTTTTTGTGTAGATCAACTAATGTAATTGTTACCATTGACTGTGATTTAATTGATTATAATTTATACTTTTAATTAAAAATATTTATTAAAATCTTAATGATAATTATATAATTGTTATTGTTTAATAATTTTATGGAAATAACTTATTTTAGTTAAACTATAACGTAAAAAATTTTATTATTAAAATAGTGCATATATATATCTAGTTTGTTATTTAATACAATACAATATAATGAAAATAATTTATATATTAAGATATATTAAAAATTTATTAAATATATGTATAAATTTTTTAATGTTTATAATTTTATAAGAAAAATTATCTTGTTTTAATTTAAAATAGTCAAAAAATAGATAAATTATTATTTTATTTAAACTTTATTTTTGTATTATCTATTGAATAGATTTTTAATTATAATTATTATTAATTTTGTAAATATGTTTTCTATTGTAAACTATTGAAAATTATTTGATTTTACTGTTAATTATTATTCAAATTTGTTTTATGTACAAAAAAATCTGTTCAAAAAAAGTCACACTCTTTTATTGAATTATATAATATTTTCAATATTTTTTATATCAATATTATTAAAAATATTGTTTATTAATTTATCCCAATTATATTAATATTTATCTCTGGTTTTATACTAAATCTATATAATTTTACTATTTTTTTATAATATATTATAATATTGACTTTTGTATTAACTTTGAATTTCCTTACACTTTAACTACTATTAATACTTTAAATATTAAATTATTCATAATTTATACTGTATTACATATACTGTTATTTTTTTATTAATTTTCACGCAATAATATATAATATATAAAATCATTTATATTAATGTATAATTAAATTTATGTAAATATATTTTAGAAAATAATATAAATATATGAATCAATATAATATATTGTATTTTGCTTTTTAGTATTTTATTGCATTTCAATTTAATACTGTATATATTATATATATATAATTATAGTTTCATCATCAAATCACATAATCAAACACATAGTACAGTATAAACTAATTAAAAGCAATTTTTTTGGACAACAATGAGATAATTGTATTTTCGCTTTATATAACTATTTTTTTATATTTTTAATTTTAGATATTAAGTAGTTTTTTTAAATATCGTTATTATCTATTAGTTTATAAGTTTAATTAAAAAATAATTATTTTAGGTTACACTACTATTTTATTAGATGAAATTTTTATAGTTTATTTTTTTTGATTATATTTTATTATTTATAAGTTTTTTTCAAGTTTTGAAATTTAAGTAATATAAGTAAAATTATTTATGCAATTGATGATTACTTATCATTAGTTATTATTAAAATATAGCGTGTATAACAAGTAGTGTTGACAAAAAAAAAAGAAATTTCTAAAAATAATAGGGAAATTTCAAGAAAGTTTATAAAAATAAATTTCTATCTCATGCGGATCCCCATGGTTAATTTTGTTTTCTCGTTAATTGTTAATAAAATAAACAAATAATAGTTAAATATAAGTACTAGTATTTTAATTATTAAGTAAAATAAAAAATTTAATTAATTAATTAATTATATTAAACTATTATATATATACTGTTTATTAAAATGATAAATAAAATTTTACAAAACTGATTACTATTAAATAATTATAATTATTTATATATATATAGATATCATATTTTGTATAATATATGTATAGTTTTATGTCTCATTAATATAGTATTACAATAGCCATAGATATGTGGATCTCATATTATAATAATTTCTATAGAAATTTATTCCTGTAAAAGTTTCTAGAAACTTTTTCAGGGAATTTTAGTAGAAACTATCTATTTGCCCATCTCTATAATAACAAGTTTGTTATGTAATATTATTTTCTGAAAAAAATAATTTATAATTAAGAAATTTATAAAAGTATTTATATACCTGTTATTGTTAATGATTTTATTAAATATTTTGTTTTAATTGAATAATATCTGAAAAACAATTAAAAAATAAGAAAATATTGGTATTATATTTATTTTTTGTCTCGAATTTTATTATAAATATTTTCTAATGAAATATAGTTTAGCATAAAATAAAATATTGTTTTAAATAATTTAATATAATTCAATAGTTGTGTTAACTATTATTTAATTTAAAATAAAAATAAGCTATCTATTAAATATATTTTAATTAAAATTATTAATAACTTTATAAATATGATTTCTATATTATTTTTATATAAAAATTTAGTTGATTTTATTGTCAATTATTATTTCAATTTATTTTATAAAAAATCCGTTCAAAACAAATCACACACTTTTATTGAATATTTAATATTTTCAATATTTATGATCAATATTATAAAATATTGTTTATTGATTTATGTTAATAATATGGATATTTATCTAATAGTCTATGATATGGCCTACTTTATGGGCAATTTATATCAATATAATTTAATTATATTTTTATTGACGGCATTGTTTTATAGTTATGTCTATAAAATGTTACATTTATCACGTGACCAAATCTGGTATAAACTAATTGAAGCATTTACTGTACAAATGGATATCAAAAAAATTATACGAAATTTTGATATTGATAATAATATGATATACAAAACTAGAAAAATTGTCCAGTATATTTATAGAATTGAACTTATATTTTTTATAAATTTCAGTAAGTACACATATTAATTATAAATTTAAATATTTTTTAAATTTAAAAAATTAAAAAATATATTAAATT